TTTCCTGGTCCATTGCCTGCTAGCCCTGTGATTGTAGCCAGTTACGTGTCCTCTCTGAGCCTTGGTTCACTCTTCTGTGAACAAGGAATAGTCATTCCTGCCCCACATGGCTATGGTGAGGAAAGAACATATACTTTAAGCCAGATACCCTACTTGACCTTCTCAATTTAAGCAACTAACATGCTGAATAAAATTTAAAATATAAAAATTGTATACATAATACTGAGCTGGTACAAATGGAAGAATTCTTCAAAGACCCAAAATGGACCAAAATCAGGAAACTTGGGAGGTGATCTAGCAGCAAAGCTGGCTGTCACCCGTAGTGTTCTTGCTGAACACTTGAGATTGTGGGTTTCCCCGTGGCAGCTGCATAGGGTTCAGGAAACAGGAGAAAAAGCCTAGTCCCTCTATAAAGATGGGATTCTAAAAGGCTCCACCCTCAGTGAATGAGAAATAAAAGCACAACACAGAAGGGAACTGCAAGGAAATCCGGCCTTGGGCTGGGTAGAATGGGAGGAAAATCTTTCCTGAAAATTCGTAATCAAATGCTGGACATCACACAGGTTTACAGTTTGAATTCAGGCTACTTATGTAGACAGAAAAACCTTTGGGAGAAAATTAAAGTGATTTTTGGTTGGTGGCGTCCCCTAGAAATCTAGCAAAAGTTAATGTAAATCCTCTCTGGAAAAATCAACTGTCAACCCATACCTCAAAAAATTCTCAGAGATAAAGTTACAACAGAAATGAGCAGATCACAGAAGACAACAAGAACAGGAATCAAGGCACTGTGAGTACTAGCCAGCAGAAACAACAGACGGCAGAATCAGACCTGCAAAGATTTCACATTCTGGAATAACCAGACATAAAATTCTACAATTTCTAAATAGCTACTTCGATATATTAAAGAAATAGAAAAAGAAATTTGCAAGTATGAGCAAGAAATAAAAAACTAGAAAACTGCCAAGCAGATTTAAAAAATAATGGACTAGAACTTCTAGAAATGATAAATAAAGAAACTGAAAGCAAAAAAATTCAATGGATAGATTAGACAGCATTTGAGATACAGAATAAATTAAATGGAAGACAGATTTGAAGAAATTATTCAGAGTTCACAGAGAGATGAAAAGATTAAAAATATGAAATAGAGGTTAAGAGATACAGAGAACAGAATGAGAAGCTCTACCATAAGTCAACCGTAGTTCCAGAAGGAGATACTACAGAAAATGGGAAAGACATCATACTCAAAGAAATAAAAGGTGAGATTTTTTCAAAATTGTTGAAAGATACTCATTTTTAGCTCTAGGAATCCCAATGAAATCCATGTGGAATAAAGACAGAGAAATTTACACCTAGTTACAAGACAATGAAGCTGTAGAACACCAAAGAAAACGATATATTTAACATAACCAGAGAGAAATGCCAGGTCACTTATAAATGAACAGCAATTAGAGAGCCAACTTTTCAACACTAACATACACAGCAAAAGGCGGTAGATTAACGGCTTCAATGACCTAAGAATATATCCAGTAAAGGTACCTTTCAAAACTGAGAGCAAAATAAGATATTTTCAAGCCAACAAAAACCAAAAACCAAACCAAACGAGAAAAAACTTGAAGTTTTACCACCAAGAGACTCTCAGTAAAGGATAATGCTAAAGGGTTTACTTTAGGTGAAAGAAAAATGATCTCGGATTCATGAAAGAATAGTGAGAAAAGGTCTTGATAAGTATGTGGGTAAATCTATACAAACACTGTATGAAACAATCTCTAGTAGGGACAAAACAGGGTAGAACAAAAACACAGGATAATGACTATATATAAATTGGAAGAGGCAGTGGTTAGAATTAAACCAGTTTATGGTTCTTATACTATTTGAGAGGAAGGTAAAGACACTGATTAATTTTAGACTTTGTTAAGTATGAGTATGCCTGTTAAAATAGCTGGGGTAACCACTGCAAGAACAGATGTAATTTCCAAATAAAGACGGAAAATGGAATGAGGGAGGAAACACTCCAACCAAAAAGAAAGAGCAGAAAAAATGGAAAGTCTATAAAGATGGTAGAAACAAATCACAATTCATCAATAAGCTATACCTATCCTAAACATTTATGCACCAAATAGCACTGCCTTAGAATACACAGAGCAAACATTTCACCACTGTGGGGGAGAAACTGACAAATCTAGTGGGAGATTTTTAACATATTTTTCTCAATAACTGATAGATAATTCAGACAAAAACAGAAAAGCACATATTGTAGATGATTTGAACAGCACAATGAACTATCTTATATTGGTGCTCATATATAGAAAACTATATCCAATAATTAGAGAATATACATCCTTTTTACTTATAAAATAGTTAAGGAAAAAAAGTGTAAAAAGATAAAATATGAGAAAGGAACACACAGAAGTGGTTCAATGCTTATTTCGAATTCTAAGGATCCAAACCTATTTTGTCTTAAAAAAAAGAGAATCTATCTTTCTTGTTCACTGACATATCTCTAGAGTCTAGCACAATGACGGGCACAAGTTGAGTGAGCAACTAGAGGTAATGAAGTACTTTCCAACATGGAAGAGAACAAGAGGACAAGGTGAGTGGTGCCAGTCTCTAGGGAGAATTCATACAGAAAAGAAAAGCAGAGCCATGATGATCGTCTTCAAATCCGAAGAGTCATGTGGAAGAGTTTTTGAAAACCCAGTCTTTGTGGTTCCACATGACAGAGCAGCGAAGAGCAGACAGAAATCCCAGAGAGGAAGAATTTGTCCCAATAGTAAGAAGAATTTTCTAACAACTCGCTGTGCAGTATTGGCTCGGAATTGCCCTGGCAGATCCTCGAAGGCCCCTTATGACCCTGTGGGGGACAAGAGTTTCTGTCCAGGATCCCAGACAACAGAATTCCATCCTATTCCAAATATTTCTTCACCCCAAATTCCCTGGATCCCCAGTCCCTAAAAGATCTGCCCAAGGTCCCAGATTCAGGAGGTGGGAAAAGAATAGTGAGAGCTCAGTCTCCAGGAACTCAATTCAGTGTCCTATCTGCTCCACCATTGGCCTCTCCATTAACCAAAATGAGCACATTTTCCTTATCGGCTGACACACACTAAGTTCACCCATGTCCCAGGAAACCCCACTTTTCCAGCACATGGCGAGGGATTACAAAAGCAAATAGAACTAGTTAAAATGAAAATTCCTAAAACCCTCCAGGAGAAGGAAAGCAAGCTCACCTTGATCTCCGCAGCAGATGGTTGAGTTGGGGGCCTGGCTCTGGGGGCTCCTCCTGCAGCTGGCCGGTCATGCTGCTCTCATGCTGCTGGGCAGGTGGGAAAAGGAGACCTGGTTCTGTGGGAAAAAGAGAAGGAAAGGTCACTTCTTCATCGTTTGCTCCTAGCTTTCCATCACCAGCCTGTAGATGACACTATCCAGAAGCCCTGGGAGTTCCTGGGGCTGGCCTCACCCACTCTCATGCCATTGGGGAGCAGGCAGGCATGTACTGGATGAACGTTTCCCACGCCCTCCCATGTGCCAGGCAAGGCTCTAAGGAATGAGGCTGCAGGATGAACTAAACGCAGTCCCTGCTCTCAAGAAACAGTCTAGCAGGAGAGAGAGAAAGAAAGAGAGATGAGAGAGACACGTATACATTTCATTAGAATATAATGTGGCAACTGCTGTGCTTTCCCCAAATCCGTTCACCAGCCTACCTGTCCCACAGGGGAGCATAGGCAGCTTACAAGCGCTATAGCACGGGGTTTCTCAAACTACTATAGTTGAGATGAAGGACCAGTTGTCTTTAATTTCCAATCCATCGTGATTGAACACTTCTATAAAATATAATAAAAATGAACTGCTAGAAAAATGAAATGAAAAAATGTTCATACAAACTACAAGCCTACTTTTTACAGATTACTCTGTCAAATGGGTATGAAAGTTTCTAAGTGCTTTCTCTCTAATTCTGCACTTATATCATGGACCGGTAAACAGTTTGCAGATCAGCATCATCCCACGAACCAGAGTTGAGTAGCACTGCTATAGTAAAAGCTTATAGAATGCAACTCTCCTAAGATGTCTGGCTGACCTCTTGGTTCTGAGAGTTCAGCAAGTTTCTCTCCAAGGAAGGAGAGCCATTGCAAGGACTTTGGAAAAGTGTGGCTTGGGGTGTTTGGACAGAGACAGTGTCAGGTAATAGAGCAGGATGCTCATGGAACCTGGTCAAAAGTTGTGCCTGGAGCCCTGCCCTGCTCCATGAACTTCCAACCCTAACTCATGGCAACCCCAGCAGAAGCTACCGCCCTGAATGAGAACAAAGTGTCATCTATTAAAATGGAAAGGGACATTTCAGAAAATAAATCATTTCCAAAATGTCAAGAGGGCTGCTGGTGTTCATTCCTACTATTTAATGCTATAAAAATGATTTTTTTTTTTTTTAAATTGAGAAATCCTTTGTCTGTGACAGTCAGCTCCAAAAAAAGCCTTTAAGTGCCTATTGCCTTAATACTTTAGGGAGAGATTACAAGTCATTTTCATCCATTTGAATGTTTAAGAGAAAGTGCTCATTCCTCTAAACTCTCAGCTTTTAAGTAGTGCTTATTTTAAACTTTACAAGAAGATAACTCTGCAGAAGAAAAATTCTTTTCCAAATCTTTTTTTTTTTTTAAATGCAAACACATATACACTCTTACTCCCTGCTTCAAATGCTAAATCATCTTCAATTTGGGAGTTTGTTGCTCATGAAATTCTAGCGATAAGCACATCATAAACATTCCTAGAGGAAGGGAATGCTTTTGAAGCCATACTTGTGATGTTATAAAGATTGTATATCATTATCTCTGAATGTTGACGAAGAGAAGGTTATGGAAATAACTATTTATGTACAAATAAGTCAATATAGTAACTGGCAACCTACATGGCAGATAGTGGCATGGGGTGGGAAGCAGGAATTTTCCTTCCTCAGCCTCCGTGAATAAATATGCTATCCTTACTCTCAACATAGGAAAGTAATACTCCAAGTTCCCCAAGGCAACGTGAGTCTTTGGAACTAGCCTGTGCAAAGGTCCTGTGACGAGAAGCAGCATGGTCTGTTCTAGCTATGAAAGGAGGCTCTAACAAGGATCAAGTAGGTTCTTGACCTTACGCCATGCTTCTATCAAGGTCGTATTCAAAGCAAGCATTAAAAATGTGCAGGTTTTTCAAGAAGTGCCCAAGAAGTTACCAGGAAAATAGGCACATATCTTTTAAATTCTCCCTCATGCTAGGCTGGAAAGAGGCGTCCAGAAAAAGAGGCCATCTTGTCCCCCTCCTATTTTATAACAAGTTTTAGGATTCATCTATTTTCTCTCCAACAGTGGTAATTTGGCTAAATCTAATCTGGCCCCAGTGGTAAAAATTAGTTGGTTAATTCTGACGTAAGACTGACAATGAGTGTTGTTTTGGGGATGTGGACAAGTATTAAAATTATTGCTGGAGAAGCCTCATGGTGGATGTTACTTTACAAAGATCATACAATTTCAAGTACAGAATATGAGCTTTGGGACCAAGCAGACCTGGGTTCAAATCTGGCCTTATCCCTCATGGACCATTTGGCCTTGTTCTGTAAAATAGGGTTAGCAATGCCTTCCCTACAGTGGTCCTAGGGATATCAGCAAGCATGTTGGTCCCACTTATCCAGGACCTGCTGGGAGCACATTGCCTGGCTCCCAGCAGGTCCTGGATAAGTGACAGCATTACTATCACTGCACACCAATGAGTGGGGACAGCCATGCTCCTCCCTCAATGTGAATATCAACAGGAATCCAGGAAATGATTTCCCAGGCCCACAAGGACTCAGTGGTTAGCCAGCACTGACCAAGGGTCCTGATGATTCACTATTTCTTGGTGTGTGCCCTCAAGGATCCCCAGCCACTGTACTGAGAGTTCCCAGTTGGAAGTCCCAGGGCTGACCCTCAATGAGTCAAACCTTGTCGGCCCCAGGCTCGACCTCCCCAAAAGAATCCAGATGCCATTCCAGGGCTCCTTCCAGGAGCTCGGCCAGCAGCCAGTAGACTTGGGTTCTAGTTCTAGCTCCACCATGAATGAATGGGGTTCCCTTGGACAAAGAGCTGAGTCCTAGATGGCAGAGGAGATATAACAGCCACCCCATCTTGAAAGCCTCATATAGGCCAGTCATGGTGCTGTGATTTCCCAGACAGTTATAAGCCCTACTAGGGCAAGGGCAAGGTCTGCTTTTTTTTCACCATTGTGTCCCACAGGCTAGCAAAGCAGTTTTCAATCCTGACTGCACGTAGTTAAAACAATCCTGCAGAGTCACTGCTGGTATTACCATTTTACAAGTGAGAAAACTTGAGGCTTGCTGACTTGTCCAAGACCACAAACCTGAGTGGTGGAGTCAGAACGTGAAGCCAGAAGGGCCTTCCTCTTTACTCCATTATCACACGGCCTTACAAAACTGGTATCTTACTTACCTCTTTCTCACATGACCAGCGAGGACACGGCCCTGGAAGGTACTGTGCCTTTCCAAAGACTCAACCGGCAAGCTGCCAAGGAAGGCCATAGTCTTCCCACTGTCCCACACTGCTGTCTGGGCCTCAGTTTCCCTTCTGCATACTGGCGGTAAACAACGCTGTCTCACATACTGCACTACTGTTAGAGTTTAGTGAGGAATGAAGATTTAAGAGTCTTAGGGAGGAAAACAAATAATGTACAGAAAGGAACTCTTTAAATGGCCCAAACCAAAGAGGAAGGGTTTTCTCCTCAGCCACAAGGCAGTTGAAAGGAAAAGAACAGCTCAGATCCCACTGGGCAGGAGGTTGGGCACAACCTGGGAAGGGAGGAGACACAGGATATAAACTATGGAGCTTCTGAAATGGGAAGCAGGACCAAATGTAATGTGAAGGCTTCCCTCCATGCCACCCACAATACATTAGAAGTTGGCACAGATTTTTAGAAACAGGAAAAGGAGGAGGAGGAGGAGCAGGAGGAGGAAAAATTAAATCTGCAGATTTAATCTAAGAACACTAAGAGACAATGTGGAGAGTAATCAATGCAGTGAGGAATCTTAGACTCCAGTCACCTGGGGGCCAACTATTCCATCAAGTGAGTTCTCCTATGTAGAGATGATGGTGACGTGAAAGAAGATCTAATTTTCATGCGAGACCCCTCCACACACTGCCAAATGCCCAAAAGCTTTCCAAATGTGGGGAAAACTCCCATCCCTTCTCCAAACATCTCTCCTCCTTTTGTTGCCTTATTTCTACCCCCATGGAGGTTGGGAAAAGAATAACTTTCATGTACTGGAGGAGATAAGAGGCAGACCACTTAATCAGACCTTTATGCACCTGGTTATTCCAGAACGCAGAAGCTGGGCCATTCACATCGATATCAGAGCAGCTCAAACACTGTGAGAACATCAAGTGGACTCATTGTAGGTTGACAATGGATGGCAGGCCACCATCCGCTCTCCAACCTCCTCAGGTCTCCCACCCCCTTGCTCACAGCTCCAACCAACTTGTCTTTCAAGTTTTCACATACTCCAAGCTCTTTCCTACCCCCAGGGCCTTTGCACATGCTAGTCCCTCTAACTGGAATGCTCTTCTCCTAGCCCCACCTCTCCCCATTAATGTTTAGTCAGCTTTCAGGTTATAGTATCAGTTAGACTTCTTTGACCTCCCAGAAATTTAAATGTGCAGCAGCACTTATCACAGTTGCAATTAATAATTATGTGATGAACGAGTTGGTGCCCCAGACTGTAAGCCCTACTAGAGCACAGGCAATGCCTAATTTTTTCACCATTGTGTCCCATGGGCTAGCAGATCAGTTCTCAATCCTGACCGCACATCAAAATCACTTAGGGAGCTTTAAACAACACAGATGCCTGGGTTCTACCACAAACCTAATATATAAGTGTTAAAAGGTTGCCAGGTGGTTGTAATATGTGGCCAAGGCTGAGAATCGCTGACTCAGAAGAAGGCCGTGGGTGCTGCTGGGCTCATGTCCTACAGCAATCTTCAAGTGGCCAGGGAGTTATAGTAGGACCTTGCTCCCTTTGCTTGTGTGGATACAATGTATAATTTAAATGTTGTTTTCCACCCCAGAGACTAAATTTGAGGAAATTCTGGAAGGGGTAAACAAACTCCTTATTGTTAGAGAAGAAAACTATTCCTTTCATTAAGTGTTCCCCCTACAGACTCTCCCCCAACACTCCCATGTCCATTAACCCTGGTTTATCACCTTTATCCTCAGGGCCACAGATTAACCTGATGTGTTCCCGAAATACACTTAAATCTTTGGGGTAAATCCTCTAATTTAAAAAAATTTAAAATAGGCCCAGCTATACTATGCAGTAGAAT